AGTCCTGCACATAGGCATAAGAAAGATTTTTTCAAGGGGACCAAACAAGGCGTGGATTTATAAAGAAGATTTTCAGGCACTCAAACAAGGCCTTGATTTAAACAGGTTTATGATTTTTTAAAATATATTTTTTTATTTTGAATACTTACATGTCACCGTTGGCTGTGGATCCTGATCATTACCCAATGGTTCTTCCAGCAGTGCCAAAATCGTGGAATTTTCCGTTACAAAATATTTAAATTTCGATATTGCCTGTTCGGTGGTTATCGAAGAACCATTTGACGAATCCAATGAATTGCAATGTTTCATCAATGCTACCTCATCCAATAGCGATGATATCGACTCCGGGCCACATTCACTTGGAAAATAACCAACTTGTTCCAGAATAATTGTCAGCAGTGCCTCGGCGGCATCACGAACACGCATAGAAGCTGGTTTCAATTCTTTTTCATCTTTAAATTTCGGTATATCACCTGGTTTGCCAATACTCTTGGTACCCGATATACCCAATTCAACCACCTCTAATACGGTCTGTAGACAATCTTTATCCTGCAACAAGTAGGGATGTTGCATCAACCAGGCCGATGTGCATTGGAATGCCGCAACAATGGTGCTGTGCAAATCTTTGCTGTGTGCCTGTGGCGGTCTCGAACACTGATAGCAGATATAATCACAAATCCATTTGACGGCGCGTTTACATTCCAAGGCGTCTGTGGAAATTATCGTAAGATTTTGACTTGGTTCTTCAATTTTGACTAAGGTTTCTATTTATGTTTTTTGATTGTTGTTGTTGGTTGGTTGGTGTATTTGTATATGATTGGTATGGTTGTATGTTTGGTTGCATTCAATTTGAAAACGATTTGTACAACAATTTTTTTTTAATTTCAACCACCAAATTTTAGGTTGAATTTATTTATGTGTATATTTTTGTGTGAAGATATTTGTTCCGATTTTTTTCATTATTTGTTCGGATTATCAAAAATGTACAGAGAAAAAAATATGGAAAAATGTTTGGTGATAATATATAACCCGTATCATGGACCCAAATGATAATTGAAAATTCAAAATTATTTCAAATATTATATATAGTTGTTAGGTTCACACATGAGACCATCAGAACCGAAGAAGAATAAGAAGGAGTTATAAGAAGAAATGGAATTGTCGGAATTGAAATAATATTTCATATTTCCATAATAGTGATATGTACGTGTAGGTGTATGTGTGTGTGCATTGTTGTATGATATATATAATTAAAAAAGTTATTAACAATGTTCGATTTTTTCGTGAAAAAAGAAGAGAAAGAAAAACAAAAAAAGAAGAAGAAAAACAACCGATGTTAGTTAAAAATGTTCGAATTATTCATTACCATTAGTAAATTTCCGAGCTGCAGAGCATTTCACATTTTTTGTGTATAATTTATTTGTACAATAAATAGTATGTAAGTGTTATTGTTGTTGTTTTTGGGTAAATGCATGAAATGAATTATTGCCATGAATGATCGATGATGTTCAGTATATTACAAATATGATTTGAATGGAACACAACAGCAGGTTTTTGTTAATGTTTTGGTTTTGTTTAATTAATGGGTAATATATAAATTACAAAAAAATAATATAAATATTATTTTTTAAAATATTCAAACAAATTCCCAGGATATTAGTTAGTATTTTTTCATTAAAGGAAGAGAGAATGAAAATAAGAAAGAAAAAATTGTTTGTTAGGGTTTTTTTGTAATTGTACATTTGATAATAAATGATGATGATGTTGTTGTAATAGAAATTAAAATAAATACACATTTTTGTATCCATTTTATATAAAGAGCTTAGGAATCAAATTAATTATTTGAAAACATTTAATTCATCTACGAAATTTTCAGTCGGCGACAAAATGGAACACATGGTCTGTGGTAGAATATTCCCACCTACTAACCCAAAAGGTCAATTATCCGAATCTATTCTACAAAATTGACACTCATAAGATTTTGGATATGATCCTCAAAGGCAATATATTGATATTCGTTTGTTTTCTTAGAACTTTTCAATTAGTGACCAATTCTTGCTCAGAAAACCTTATATTTATTTACACTAATAAATTTCGTAGATTGTGAATAAATTTAAAAAATGTTATCACAAAGATAAAATCTGTTGCACAGTGGATTGTCAACGGATATTGAGAGAGGATTCCGGAAGCAAAACACTCGATCAACTAGGTGGAAATTTACTAGATTTTCCAGTTGGAAATACCTGTTATTTGTGGACACCATAAGACTGAGGTGTTAATATGGACATTCGTGTTCTAATGGTTTGCATTAGACCTAGTTACAAAGTATTGGTCATGTTGAATTGAATGAAGAGAATTTGGCACTCTCATTAGTAGCCGAATACCTCGGAACAGCTTTGATCACAAATTAACGTGTTGTTGCTTTGTGGTAGCTCTTTTCACAATGGACTGAGGGCACAAATTAATGTGGCACCACGAATTGCGGTGGTTATCGTCTTATTGCTGTTGTTTTATAAGCTCTTGTACGCAATGGACTGAGATGAAAGACGTTGGCCGAGTAAGACTTGGGTCTTGTTTGATCGTAGACCCTTCTGGGTATGGTTGCAGGGGCTTGACGGCGGAGCACTCTTGACCAAGCTCAATACTGTACAGCTACTGCATCACTCCTCCTCCAAGTACTACTCAGAATTAATTAAATAGTGCCCTTAATTAATAAACTACGATGGAAAAAAAGAGTAAAAGGAATAAAGTTACGGTGCAGGGAGTTAATATCCCAATAACGGCGGCAATCGTTGATGAGATCACAAGCCACGTGTCGTCGAGATCAAGCGATTGTGATCCAGCTTTTCTAGGTGTGGATGCCTTGGCTCCTGCAGTTGTATCTGTTACAAGCGCATTAACTTCAACCCCGAACAACGTTGACGAACCGGCAATTCTATTGGCAAACGAGCAAGTCAGGACTGATGACAGGGCTGTAGTTCTCGGAGGGGAGGACCTACACGGGACTCTTAACGCTATCCGCGATAGTTTAGAGAAGCAAAGTATGGAAATCTTCGACCAGTTAGATATACTTGTACCGGAAGAACGATGTGGGGATACGCTTCCGGAGGAACTGCAACTAAATCTCATTCTGACTGATGATGAGGTGAACACACCGGTGATCCCGGCCAAGTCTACACAGGGGGATTGTTGTAGCCTAAACGAAGGAAGCGTAGACCCTGTTGACCGACCAACTTCAAGTCTGACTCCAACAGGTCCTATGTCGGCACTTGAGGACAATAAACTTCGGAGGCAATCTGCGACGGAGGCGATGTCCGACGATAGGGAATCTGTCGAGACCCCAGCAACGGACAGCGGCTCAAAGGTTGGAAAGACCCGAGAAGTATCTGACGCGAAGCACTACAAACTCGCTGTTTCATATCTTCGCAAATTCATGGGGCGAGACACGAATTTGCTTTCGGAGAGGGATGTTCACCTCAAAAAGGGCAAGATGAGATTCGTAAGGAAGTTCGAAAGAATCTATTCGCACGCTCTCCATTGTGAGCTCCAGATGTATAGGATCTCCCTCCCGAATCCAACTGTTCGATTAAATATCTCCCAGGGGACCTCTAAATCGAATGAAGTAGTGGAATCAGCGAAGCTCACTATCTCTGACTTCCTACTTCTGATCCGAAACCTAACCCAAATCAAAAGGAAAAGGCTGAATGTGAGGTCTAACATTCTGTACGTGCTGGTCATACATTCTCCATGTGGTCATTAATCAACACCCAATACGAGTTGGGACGACTGCACCATCTTTTACGTAATTCGGCCAAAATTACTCCGGTTTGTTGGGCAGCTGAAGTTCATCAAATGCGTTAGATGGCGCTGCGGCAACTGCATCAATATGCTATTTAGTTCAATTGGTAACTTCATCTATAGATTCCCTCTTTTATACACCGCACATGTTTTTAACAGGCAACATAAAACTAGATGTACACATCGTTCTTTTTGAGAATATGCATTGAATCATTTTCTAAGTTGATTTATGCATGTCCGTCCGACTGTCCATGTTATGTTGTAAACAAAGTACAGGTCGCAGATTTAGATATAGCTCCCGCTTATATATATATATATATATATATTTTCGTCCCATTTTAGGTAAATGGTGTACCAAACTCCTAATGGTTGTCCGATTGACACGAACGTTTGCACAACGTATCAAATTGAGACTAGAATGACGTTATTGCGTTTTGTTAAAATTGGTGTAGATGCAGACATAGCTTCCATATATAATTTGCACTGATGTCTGATTGAGATTAAATTTTGAGCAGTTCGGCATACCGAATAGCGTGTATTATATATAAATAAGTTTGTCCCATTGTACACAAATGACTCTAAATCTGCCTGTATGAAATGAAACTTAGCATAGGTTTCAGAATATATGTACGGATTGATGTTAGTCGGTTCACATATAGATAAAGATCACATATTCAAGTTCGTTCAATATCATGTCAATGTTCCTTCCTTACTGGTTTAATATTATACATCTCTCTCTTTCTCTCTCTAGATCATGCATATCCTTTCTGACACACCCGGGTGGGGGCGTTTTATCCACCATATGATTGGTAGGATGATTGTCCCTGAAGCACCTAAGCAGGTACTGCAACAAAAGCATATTTCTATGATGGCGTAAGGGAAGTATATACATCTCCTAATGAAGATTGTCCACTGGTGTCATAAGGAGGCAACCTGTTCCATTTCTCAGAACGGCGTTTTGACAGGACTGAATACTTCTCGATTGTGTAGCACTAGTATTGGTGGAACACGCTGGTACCGCAAGAGGTCAACATGGGTTCGTTACCAGCGCCCTGTTTCCGACTTCAGGACCTTGTTTGTACTTTTCAACTTATCGCAAATGTAACCTCGAGAATTTTGGGGTCGTTGGTGGTCGAAATTGTGTGCCTCTCGACGCAGTCAATGTAAAAGGCGAGATAGGCGTTCAACCTTACACAACCCCTTACACATATGACGCGACACCATGACCGTACAATCATCTGCATACGTTACGTGCGCCCTCCCTCAATCTGGAGGACGAGTAATACCGGAAAGGCAAATGTTAAACAGTTTCGGAGATATCACTCCACCATGAAGAACTACCTTTTACACTCTTCGGGGTTTGAATCAACGTACGAATGGCGTCTACACAACGTTTCAAATATGACCGAAAGAAAAGTGTTCTCGATGTCCTTAAACAGTGTGGCATGAATGACGGTTATGCGTGGAGATGGCGTGCTAAGCTGTTATTTTGCTGTGTTGCTTCCGAAATCCATGCAACTGGATAGCTTTTCCTAATGCTGGGGTGGAGTAATGCATGAAGAGTCTTCGCTGGTGGTGATAAAAGTGAAATCGGCCTGTATGAATCAGATGAATATCTTATAACCTTGCCTTACCTATCGTATCGTTCGGAAAGACTTATAAAGATAATGTGAATATCACATGAGAAGAAACGAAATTTCGAATTATAGACCTTACTGTCTTGGAAACGTGGAGATGCAACATATAATTTGACGAATTTATCATTGTGAAGGCGAGCTGCTCCTGATCTCCTTATTAGACCAGTATTTATAGATAATTTTGTGCAGAAATGTTACTATGAACCTTAAAACGTTAAAAATTGAGTGGCACCGTTATCTATCAGTGGACCTATACTAAAAAGTCACAAAGGTTTCGTAAACACTAAAAAACAGAAAAATTTGGTTGTATGCGATCTGTAAAATAGTGGGGTTGTTTTATATTTTAAGGTAAAGTTAATTGTGTACGATGTATATTGTAATTCTGTTCTTAAATGTGCTCGTTCGCCTTGAATTGAATTACATGTGAAATAAACGAAATAGAATGAAAAGTTGTTTCGTACCCACCAAAAAGTCGAAATATGAAATTCATATAATTTAACACCCTCTATATAAAATGGATTTTGCAAAAATAAATATATTGACAACATAAATCACACACATACACACACGTCGCTACAAATAATAAAATTATATATTTATATGTACAAAAATAAGTTGGCGGAGAAGGGGTATTAATAAACCCAAAATCATTAAATAATAAAAAATGGAAAGATAAGAAACAAGAAACAAATGCTGGGAATGTAGAGAGAGAAAATAAATAAACACAACATAAACCAATCAGCCCCAAAACCAAGGATATAAATATTTGTATATTAGCAAAACAATATTTGAAAACAACAAAATAAATAAAAACAAATATATTTTATTTTCAAAAGAAACATACCTGTATCACGTATAAAGAGACGAGCCAAACCCGAAAGTAGCTCCAATGCGGCTAGGGAAACATTCAAGTCCGTTCTCCATGAAGAAATCAAGCGGTGGCATACCAAATATGTAGCGCGAACAAATAGCGCATGGGCATTATCTACAAGATTAATTACGATATTATTATTTAATATATAAAACAAATTAATAATTTATTTGGTTATAATATAATAAGGTTATAATAATATAAGGAAAATTAGCAAATTATAAGAAAGAAAAAAGTAACAATGAAAAAAAGAATTTTTAAATTATAAAAAAATATCATAATTATATTACCATAACTAGTAGCTGTTTCATATTCGTGCAATACATCCAATGGCAAATCATCGAATATCGTCAAACTAGGATATTCATGTTGCGATGAATTATCACGGGCATTTAATGTACCCGAACCATGATACGAATCAGCTGCTGTTGAACCAGCGGCAACAGAATTACCTATGGTAGCAGTACTGTGTGCACCTAAACTAGAATTGCCAACACTAGCTATTGAAGCAGATCGTTCAGAACAAGCTGTAGCTCTCAATGTAAACGGGGGTGTTACAATAAATAAATCAACAAAAAGCCAAAAAGGGATGAAAAGAAAAAAACATAAATACAAAAATAAAGAAATGCAAATTAAAAAAAAATCAACAAAATAAATATAAATGGAACAAAATATATAAGAGATTTGGATATTATAGTATATTCCTATAGTTTTAATATTGGATAATATAGTTTCCGTATAAAAATATATTGGATAATACTTTTGTATGGATGTTACTTTCATTAATATTAGTTACATAATGAACGGAGCTATTCCAAAGTAGAAATATCTCACCAGATCAAAACATCCTGATATTCGGGATGGTGGAAGGAAATTGCGAGACACATAAATTATTCTTCAGGATTTGTTTGGCCCCAGCCGGGTTCAAGCAAAACCGTGGTTCTGTCCGGTTGTGAGACTACTATGAACGGGATTACGTTGTCTCTTGCTGATCAATACACACACACAACTGACAGGTTTTCAGAGAATTCACCAACCATCGTTTCAGACAACTTTCCATTCCTTCTAATGTACGGGTAGCAGAAAGTAAATTCCGGGACAACATTACAGCTACTAGATTTATAGCTGCTGGTCGAACATCCGAGATGAGACCTAATTTCCTAGCGGTGATAGTTGGACTGACTAACGTTGGAGGTCAACAGATGAATCGCGGAGCATATGCGGAATTAATGATTAGAACAGCTGAAGTGCAGCAAACATTGATCCTCTTGTAAGTAAACTTTGGGCAACGGTTAAGTCCCTTTCAAATCCTGGTAAGAAGGACCTGAGTTACATTTAACGACGAAACTGTGACTGCTTTGAAGAGATGCGCCAGATATTTTAACAGACAGTATGTCGAGCATCCAGAGCTCAGAGCACATCGGTTCTCGTCAGATTCGCGTTTAGTACATAGATGGGGGACCGCTTAAAATCGTTGGTTGGTTGTTGGCATTTTATTTATTTTCCCGGATATAATCCTGATTGTAGTGCTATTAAAACTTATAACCACGAGCGGAAGCATAGCCGAACGTGACCACAGGTTGCGGTTTCGGGAATGAAATAAAGAGTGGAAAACAGTCAGAGGGTCTAAAACGAGGGATTTGAAGGAAACTACCGAGCGCCAATGATCTTCTGAACGGACGAGGCGAAGTTTTGGCGTCCCTATAACTAATCAAACATATTGGTTTCTAGTATCCTACCCTAAAAGATGACACTTTAATGCTTGGAAACTCATTCTCATCAGAGTATATGATTTGCAGTCAGAACACCAACAGTATTCGAACGGAGCCTCATCGATACCTGAGCGTTTTGATGGATATTATATTTAGGTACCAAGTCCTTGCCATGGTCGACCTCAGGTCCCCAATTTAACAAATGGCCCCCAAAACAAACTCTTCGACAGATGCAAGTGTGGCTGTTTTGGCTTGGACCCTTAGACTCAATTGTCGAAAGTGCTAGAACCAAAAATATTAATTCTATCGTTGCAGACAAATGTATAATCTTGAAAACATACATATCTGACAACCTTCTTATACGCGAGGAATATCGTAATCGATACCTGAGCGTTTTGATGGATATTATATTTAGGTACCAAGTCCTTGCTATGGTCGACCTCAGGTCCCCAATTTAACAAATGACCCCTAAAACAAACTCTTCGACAGATGCAAGTGTGGCTGTTTTGGCTTGGACCCTTAGACTCAATTGTCGAAAGTGCAAGAACCAAAAATATGAATTCCACGGTATTCAATAAGGTCTATCGTTGCAGACAAATGTATAATCTTGAAAACATACATATCTGACAATCTTATTATACGCGAGGAATATAAATATCCGCCACGACTGCGTAGATGTTCAGGTGAAGGGGTCATTGAATTTCGATCATTAATTATCCCAAAATTGGGGTCACATTCGATAGCATATTTAAGTTTTCAGCGTCAAACACAGCTATTTGGGATAAAATGAGAAGTAGGAAAAAGGTCCTCAAGTTGGGGGCGCTGACAAATTAACCTCTTATAAAGCCATAGGCTGGTCAATGGTAAGCAATGCTGCGCCATTGTAGTTTGCGAATGTACGTGATACGTAGTGGAAGAACATTCAAACCTACAGGGCGCCGCACTGAGAACTGCTGCAGAGTGATTCTGCATGACATCTCCATCGACACAACTAAATTTTGTCGATGCAGTATATCTTTGAGTGTTACCGTCTTCTCCCATGTCAGGCGAGATCTTCGTGATCTAGAGAGAGAGGTCTAAAGGTATAAACGCGATCCTCTATATACACAGACTATCAGGCTGGCCTCAATTTTTATCGGAGACCATCCTCCAATTATAGACTGGTATTTTCTAAGGATGCTACAAAAGACTCGAAGCTTATAGTTTCATAATCTAGGTAAGGTATAGGAAATATAACTTCAGTTTAGGTTCCCCCTCCTCCTCAAATGTATGTAGTTGGAAAAAATACTAAAGATAGTCGAGAATAAGAATGTTGGTTTTCGAATTGGAAATTATCGAAATTTAAATAACATTTCGAGGAATGTCTGCTTTTAATGGACATAATCTGGGAGGGATGTTTGTAAAAAAGTTGTCGAAATTGTTTATGAGATTTTGTGTTGATATGGAACCTTCTCAAATGAAGTTGAAAAATGTAAATATTATTCGAGAAGCTGAACAAAAGTCTTCGATATTTATTTTATCATAAAATTGTTCGTACATAGCTCGGGAAGATTAATTTGAATAATTACAAAACAGACACTGTCGGACTCCTTTTTAGCCTCTTCCTCCTCCACAAATAATGAAATCGCCATATCAGTTCCCTTCCGACCAAGGTGATATTACGATGGAAAATATAATTCGAAGCTTTTAGATAATGGATAATGCTATGACAATGCTAAAACAAGTTAATGATTCGAGAATAGAATAACTTTCCAAATACTTCATTTTGCCGAAATCCAATTATCGACGTCCTCTAACAGTATGGCAGGATTGACACCGTCCTGTGGTAGGTAATGCTTTGTTTAGTGTTCGACTCTTGTTGCTTACCAAGCTCATGCTGATTATTCGTAATAGGATAGTGCTGGTGCCCTTATTTGGGAACTGTAGCGAAACCACTCTGCCCATTGCACAGACTTCGAGGACTTTATAGTTAGTTATCGACAAATTAATGACTTTAGCCAGATACTCCACTCTATTACCATAGAGATTCCTCTCGGTTATGATGTAGTGCTTCAGATGACACTTGCAGCATCACGATATAGTACTCTTCGCTTCGCCCTGTCACTCTTGGAATGTTCCTCAAACATACAAATTCGATATGAGCAAAGGCATACAAAGAGTATTCTGCACTACATTGTGATGTATATTATACATAATAATTTCAGTAGTGTTTGGCGGGTTATTTGGGATACCATTTGTATTTTATTTTTTGCAAAATAGTCAGGCTTAATCCCAGTTTGTTGTTTTTATAAAAAACAACTATTTATTAGTGGGGAATGTATGGCATTGTCCGCCGAGGGGTAAGGCAGGGAAGACTATAGTTTCGGATCTCGCCACTGATCCTCATCAGTTCCCTTAGTTTTTTTGTTGTTTTTATAAAAACAACAAACTGGGATTAAGCCTGACTATTTTGCAAAAACAAAACATAATAATTTCAATTACGAAATATATTATCCAATATATTGTCGATACGAAATTCAATTATCCATAATAACATTTAGATGAAAAATTGCGTGGCAAATTCATGATGTCCCTCCTCTCTTCAAAATATAACTCACCCGAGCTAAGGATATTCGATTCAGCATTACCATGACCAGGCGAAGGTGAACCACCATGAAGATTCGAATGATCTCCCAGACTTTCAGTTTCTTCAAAGGTAACAGCATCTTGTACGGTTAGTAATAGGCCACCTAATAACATGTGGGTATTTTGTGCATCCGTTTCCACTTGTAGGGCATTCATTAAAATATTTATTAGACGGGGTTTCAATTGTAAAAATGTTGTAATCCTGAAAAAAAAAGATTAAAACAAAATTGAAATATAATTTAAAAGTTTTTTTTGAGTTTTTCCTCACCTCTCCGAAGCCTCATTGGTTAAATCACGTATTGGCAGTGTTTGAAAATGCAATGGTAGTGTCAAAATCGATAGTAAAATTTGTATGGCGGAACGCCGCAAATCGGTTTTATTAAATTGCATTGATTGATTTTTAATTTTCAAATCTTTTGCGGGCAGGACAATTTCCAATGCTGCAATAAATGAGGGCAACAGTACATGTACACCATCTAAATCTAGACGAAATAGATCGGCGGAATTTAATAGAATACTGGCCAATGTTTCATCACATTCTTTAGTTTCGGTAATTTTTAAACATTGCTGTAGGGCCATATAGAATCGGGCCAAATAAACGGGCAGTATTTCTTCGCCAGTTTTTTTAGCACAAAATATTTTACACAGGGTGCCAATGGCTTCAGCCCGACCCGATTCATATTTATCGATAGTCAATGTGGGCGGCAGGCTTGAGGGGTCGTTAAGGGAATTTGGTTGTGACAAAGAAATGCTACCCTTACGAGTTTCCATAATCATCGAGGAGGGGCGTTTACTGGCCTCACTGGCTTGTTCTGAAAGGAGAGGAAAATGAATGAAATGTTGGAGTAGGGTATTCGAAAAATGTGTTTGTACTTTTGGTATTCATTAGCCAAGCATCACCCCCTATATGGGCCGCTTCAAACAACCATTCACCGAACAGATGTAAGATGCTGTTACATTTGGGTCGGGTGGCAGCCAATGGAGGTCTTGGTTCCAAACCCAGGGAGGGTAAAGCTGGAATGAAAGAAATACAGATTAGTTTTATTTTTTGAATTGAATTTTTAATTTCGTAGTTAGTAGTACATACAGCCCAAACTGCTGCTGGATGGCGGTCCAGAGGTTGGCGTTAAGGGAGCTGGCGCTGCAGTTGCGTTTGATGATCTTGATGTTGTCAAGCCAATGAGAGCGGATTTGCTTAAGCCTAAAAATTTAATAAAGGCAAACAAAAAAAGGAATATTAATATAATAAAAATGCAGGACAAGTAGAGAGCGGGTTAAAATTGGTGCTGGTACAATACTTTACAACAAAGCGGCGAGGAGAGTTTGAAACGTAATTATTTATATTACTATCACTACAAAAATATCGAACACGTTAAATTCTAGTGGTTTATGCAATTTTTCCGAATGAAAATAATTTCAAATTTCCTACAGCAAACAAATGATTGTTACTACAATTACAAAACTTTCTATTTACAAAAAAAAAACCAAAAACAACAACAAGAAAAAAATAAATTACACACATCACAACTAGTCGTCGTCGTTGGTCGTCCACTTAAAAATAAACAAATCTTTCAATTAAAATAAATGATTCACAACACAACTACCTACCGGCGGCAGGCCAACCTTATTTTGTAGCCATAAAAAATATTATTATTACGTTCGATGGTTCACATTCGTCTATAACTTCTCTAGACCACTGATCTATCTCCACACCACACATTCTCTGTGAAGCGGCAGCAGCAACAGCAATAATAATAAAATAAGTAGACTACTTAGCTGTGTTGGCTTTAGCGTTAAAATGATAATTTTTTGTTTTGTTTCGGGCTATTTTTTGGAAGTACCCTTATATGGATTATAATAAATGTGCGGTGTGACGTGTTCGATTAATTGATTCCGAAAAAATACGCATATCAATCACCTGATTATTTCAATAGAGAGAAAAGCTGGTTGTTTAACTGATTTAAATGCGGTTATGGTTTCACATGCAACAGCAGGTCTGTGTTACACTAAAACTCTAATTCTAATACCGCTAGCTTCTGTGAAAATGTGTAAGAATAAGCATCAAGCCTTTAAAAAATTCTTCCAAATGTTTACATTTTATATTTGAATAGAAGTGCTACTATCAAACTTCGTGAACTTCGTAAATGAGAAATGTTATGGTCTAATATGAAGTACAGAGTGATGACAGAGAGTGAGTGACACATGCAGTGGAGTGCTAAGAGCAATGTTAATTGGTAACACTTGTCAAATTGAGTTAGTACGAATAGTATCAAGATACTTATTTGACTCAGTCCTACATTTATCGTACGTTCCCACGCCTCACTTTCCCACCCCTGCCGACCGAGGGGGCGACCTCCCCTTTCGTAGGGATCGCGTACGCATCATAATCCGCATTATGATGGAATATGAGAAGGGATAGAAAACCAGCTACAGAAATCTACTTCAACAGCCAGTTTGTTATTAAGTTGTATTATTCATTTAAAAATATGATTATATTAGATTTTATTAGGTCTATATTCATGCAAAAGTCTACGTTAGAATACACAGAATTGAAATCAATACACATTTTACTAAGTGGATCTCCCATAGAATAATTTGTGCGATGAAAATCTACGTATAATGGTTGATAATATCTACTTGATCGAAAAGGAACATTTATTCTAATGGATGAAATTAGGAAGTCTGAGGGTATATTACCGCTTAGTATTTTAATTACTATCATAGTGTTCAACATAATACGTCTACTTTTTAATGTTGGCAATCGAATTAATTTTAACCTGCTAGTGTAAGAAGGCAACACAAAGTCACTATTCCAATGTAAACCTCTCAGCGCAAAAATTAGAAATTGTTTCTGCACTGATTCAATTTTATCGGAATAAATTGTATATTGGGGATCCCATACAACAGAACCATATTCTAATATGGGTCGCACAAGAGATGTAAAAAGTTGTTTTGTAATGTAGGGATCAGAGAATTCTTTAGCCCATCGTTTTATAAATCCTAAGACACCGTGGGCTTTGTTTACCATAGAAATAACATGATTATTAAAATTTAATTTTGGATCCATTAAAATACCAAGATCAACAAATGAATCAACAGTTGATAAAACAGTACCATTAATATTGTATTGCCTTGTTAAAGTAGAAGATCTGGAAAAACACATATGCTTACATTTGTTTAGGTTTAAATCCATACAGTTTAATTCGCACCATTGAAAAAGGTTATTTAAATCATTTTGAAGTAAATCAGCTTGCTTCATGGAGTTATGGGTGATAAACAACTTGACATCGTCAGCATACATTAGCAATTTGGAGTGGATTATTGCATTTGGTAAATCATTTATAAATAGAAGAAAGAGGAGTGGACCTAAATGACTTCCTTGGGGAACGCCGGAAGGAACATTAATGGATTTGGAGAGACAATCATCAAACAAAACTACCTGTGATCTATTTCTCAAATAAGATGATATCCATTTAACTAAATTTATACTGAAACCAATTTGATTTAATTTATATATTAAAAGTTCATGGTTAACCCTGTCAAAAGCTTTACTGAAGTCAGTGTAAATCGTGTCGGTTTGATTACGCTGAATAAAACCTTTTATGACGGTTGAGGAAAATTGAATAAGATTGGTAATGGTTGAGAGGCCACTACGAAAACCATGTTGATATGGGCTTAAGATTGGCTGAACTTTATGAGAAATTACATCAGTAATCAGTTTTTCGAATAATTTTGGAATTGCACTTAATTTAGCAATTCCTCTATAATTCGAGACATTAGTTAAGCTACCAGATTTGTGTAAAGGAACTATATAGGATTTCTTCCAGAAGGTCGGAAAATGACTATATTTCAGGGAATAATTAAACAATAGCGTTAAAGGGATAGCTAATGTATCTGAACAGTACTTTAGAATTATGCTAGGAATGCCATCCGGACCTGGACTTTTAATTGATCTTAAATTACGTAGATTTTTAGAAACATATTGACTTTGTAAAAAAGGCATAGATATTTGATCTATCGTCGATAATTTATAACTATATGTATCTTTATTTGGACAGGGTGAATATGAATATGTTGTAGCGAAAAAATTTGCAAAGCACTCTGAAATTTCAGAGTTTTTCTCAAATGTCTGATTATTGAATTTCAAGATGGTGGGCTTTGACGTAGCTTTTCTTTTTATATTAACAAAGTCATAAAAAGATTTAGGATTGGATTTGAAATTAAGTTTAATCTTGTTTAAATAAAGATTGTAAAGTTTTCGGGACTCTGACGTATATTTAGACCTTGCGACAGCATATTTAGCATAATCTATAGAGGAGCCTGATTTTTTATATTTTTTAAAAAGTTTATTTTTATAATTTTTAATACTTGAAAGCCCAGATGTGACCCATGGATATCGTTCCGAGTTTCTAACTCTAACAATGGGAACTCAATATGACCCTTACAAATAAATAATGTGCTCCAATTTACGTTTGAGATAAGTGCGTTTAGCTTTCGGAAGTCAGTTTTATTATAATTAGGAACAGATTTAAATGATATTAAAGAATTGTTGGTAGCTAAATTATTATACATCATGGATATGCATAATGTACGATTTTAAAAGATGATCTACTTTCTGAGAAAGCAGACCGGAGCTTATAACAACGTAGAAAGAAATTTCCATCGATTTTTGATTTTATATAATAATTTATATCCTCAGCCGAGGTATCTGGTGCAAACCTAGATACAAATACCATTTTCCTGGTGGGAGCCATAGATAATGGTCTTTGACCAGGTTGGAGGGAATTGCTAGTGCCAGCTACGGAAGACGCATTAGATGATTGAACTGATGATTCCCGATTTCCGTGAGTAGGTTTTGAAGTCTTTTCCAGACTAGCACTACTTATACTCACAGATTTTGGATTTATCACTTCATTTACATCCTTAACGATTTCCGAGGCCGAATGTGACGCAACACTAGCATATGTCTGGACACAATCAGTTTCCGTTGTATCTGTGATATTGACGGAAGGTGATTGTGGCACTGTATTCCCAACAGAAACTGTGGGTTTGCGACTAGGCACGACTTTATTGGGAGCCTTTTTCGCAGACCTTTTACGTTTTT